TCCTTCTTAAGGGTATGCATGTGAAAAAGGAAGACAGAAGAATTGATGCTTTGAATAAAGGTGTTGGTGAAGAATACGGAATCTACCATGGACCACCAGAAGAATGAACAAATCTGTCTGGGAAGAAGTACAGCCAGAATGTCCCTTAGAAGCCAGGATGGCAAAAGTCATCTCACTCCAGATATGTTATCAGGAAGACACACACCTGGAGAAGGACATCATGCTTGGTAAATTGGAAGTTCAGTGAAGAAGATGGAGACCCTCAGTGAGAGGGATTGATGCTTCAGCTGCAACAATGGGTTCAGACATGGCAATAGTTGTGAGGATGGTACAAGACTTATTGTACATGGGGTCCCTATTAGTTGGAACTGACGTCACAGCCCCTCACAAGGGACGGAAGACTCATCCACAGCACTCATGGTTGAGACCCAAGGGAGAGGTGAAGACCCCCAGACTTTGAGAGATTCCTTATTTTCATTTCTTGAGGCAAAGAGGATGACATTCCCAGTGCTCCTTGGTTTGTGCTCGGTTCCCCCAGTGGCATCCAGGCTTCCGTAGCTGTGGTTGGGTGTTGTCATGGTGACATCCAAAGAGGCAGGAGACTAGGAATCCTCCAATCACCATTTGGCCTCAAGGCCACTAGTAGTAACCCAGCAAGCAGTGTTTGCTCAGTAATTCAGGGAACGGTTTCCTTGTTTGAGGTTTAAAATAACTGCTGTTAATGTTCATGAATTTTTAATGAAGCAAGTTTTCTGCTGACAGGCAGTAACAGAACTGCACTGGGTCTGCAAATGGTCCTTTCTGGAAACCATGTATACATGAGCCCAACCCACTCTTGGCCTCTGAGAAGTGGAGCAAGTTAGAGTCAGCAGATGGCGTCACTGCTACCTAGACACACACAGAGCCAGTTATAAGCTTGTTTGCCTACAGCCCTAGCATAGTGCCAAGGAGAACTATGGAAGAATCTAGACTCCTGTGGAGAAAAGTCTGCAAAGCAGGGATCCCATCCCAGAGGAGACACGCTCGTCTAAAAAGCAAGATGAAGAGAATACCACATTGCTCCATTCTGTTGTTGTGTGTCTTCCAGGTAAGTCAACTCCAGCTCATGGAGACCCCCACCTGCAGGGTCAATTGCCCACAAAGGTCTTCTAGGCGGTTGTTTAGTAGATCTTCAGGTGGTCTTTCTTCCACAGAGTCAGTGGGTGAGTTTGAACCGCCAGCATTCAGGGTAGCAGCTGAGTGCTTAACTGTTTGAACCACCTGGGATTTTCCCATTCTGTCTGGGGAGAGGATAAAACAGGCCTTGCTTCACCCTGCCCTGGTTTCCCTATTTGTGATCTGCAAAAAAATACCACTATCCCCTCCACACAGACCCCCAAGCCATATATTATTGTTGTTGTTAAGTGTCGTTGAGTTGGTTCCAACTCATAGCACCCTGTATAGGTTTTCCAAGGAGTGGCTGGTGGGTTTGAACCACTGACCTTGTGGTTCAAACCACCAGAGCCACACATAGCTGGTTCCTTTTATTCTTACTCCTGTAGGCTATCAGGCACTTATTCCTACCATTCATTCATTCATTCATTCATTTGTTCAACTAAGATTTACCTTCACTGATATCGCTATCCTAGGTCAAGCATTTCCACTGCTTTTAGGGTAAAGACTCTACATGCTTAACAAGGCTCTTCATGACGGCTCGCTCTGCCTATCTGGTCTCGTCTCTGATTCCTCCCCCATCTACACTCTGCGCCATCTACCCTGACCTTCACTCAGTCCCTGCCTACCTCAGTGGCATCTTTAGAGTTGGTGTCACTCAGTGGGGTGACTCGTGTCAGCCTGAACCCCTCGGCCCCATGCATCTCCTCCCATACCAGACCATACAGAATCCTTAGTCATGCTTATTAGGGATTTGAAACACAGAATGACATGTGATGGACTTGTAAATTGCTTAGATCTGATATTTCTTAGTTTATCTGAATACTAACAATGAAATGGTTTTGTAAAATCTTTCTACATTGAATTACAAGATTCTTAGCAGTTGAGCAGAAGCATTTCCATTTTTCTATTTCTCTTCCTTTAACTACCACTTCATTCTCAACAAAGGAGCTCTGGTAGAGTAGTGGTTAAGAATCGGGCTGTGAATCGCAAGGTCAGCAGTTCGAAACTACCAGCTGCTCCGTGGGAGAAAGATGAGGCTTTCTGCTCCAGTAAAGATTTATAGCAGGGTCACTATGAGTCGGAACCGACTCCATGGCACACAGCCATTCTCAACAAAAGTTGTTGATGTAGGTTCACAAATAGGATTTATGACAAGATTGAAGTGAAAGCACCTGGAAATGAGATAAAATCCATGAAGCACCAGCAGCACCCGTGTGTGCCGATGAAACCATGTGAACTGAAGCATTGTGGCTGTTGGGAAATGACAACAGCGTGGACAGGCGCTCAGGAGGTAGACCAGCACATCTATAGATGCAGCTAAACTGGGCTTAGGAGACTCATCTTTGTTGTTGCACCTAGCTACAGAGATGTTTTCATAAAAATAATAAATTTCCAAACTACAAAACAAAACAGTGAATGGAAGCAAATACTGTTGAATAATGATGCACGGAGGAGATTGTAACGATTGCAATGAAATGATGATGTAAAGCTGATGTTTGCCCATGTAAACCATCACTTAGTTCACAATAAAAACTTTAAAAAATAGAAACGAAATAAAAAGAATAAATTTCCACTGAAATACTGCGCACAATTTTACAGCTGGTCATTCTGGCGTCCCCCCACTGAGAGTGTCACGGGGTGAAGTCTGCATCCCCTATGTCTCCCTCGGGGTGACACTGGACTGTGCCCCGCTCCTGCAGGTCTGGGCCTCACAGCACAGGGGTCCTCTGCCCCTCGTCATTGCCTGGCTCATTCTTCTCATCCTCCAGGCTTCACTACCGCTGGGAAGCCTTCCCTGGCCTGCCCACATCACCAAATATCCTACAGTGTACATTCCCACACAACCAAACCAATCCCGATGCTGTTGAACAAACTCAGACCCATGGTGACCCCGTGCTTGTCAGAGTAGAACTGTGCTCCATGGGGGTTTTCAAGGTTGAGTTTTACCAAGTAAATCACCAGATATTATTTATGAGGCACCTCTGGGTGAATTCGAACCTCTAGCCTTGCGGTCAACAGCCAAAGGCCTCGACTGTTAGCACCACCAGGGATTTCTGCATTTCCCAGCCTGTTGCCTTCCTCCTGCCACCCAAGGGATCCTGAGGGTACAACGTCTAAGCGCTCATCTGTTAACCAGAAGGCTGATGGTTTGAACCCACTGATCCACGGAAGAAAGTCCTGGCAATCTGATCCATAAAGAGGACCGTCTGGGAAATCCTCTTGGGAAGTTCTACCATGAGTTTGAACTTGAGATCACACAACGTTGTAAGTCCAACACCTGCCATGTTCCTGGGGGATGGAGAAAATCAGTTTTTTTACCTTTGGCTCTGTCCACATAGTCCCTCTTCATAATGGACACAAACTGATTGGATAGAGCTCTCTTAACGTCCTCCATCGATGTAGCCTTCCAAGGGAAGCAGTTATCTGTTAGTGCTGGAGAGCGATGACCGGCAGGCAGGGTCCACTGACAGAATCCCTGTAACACAGAACAGACAGTGTTCAGGAGAGCCCGCACCTGTCCCCTCAATGGGGTCAGAAACAGGCATTTCTCAATAGTCGTGTTTCAGATTCCTAGCGCCACCAGAACAGAAATCCACAGATGGGTGGCTCAAACACACTCAAAAGTTTTCTCACATTTTATTAATTTGTTGTTAATTGTCTCATGGCAACTCAGTAAAGAGTTTCCAAGGATCGGCTGGTAAGTTTGAACTGCCAATCTTGTGGTCCAGTGTTATCCCACAGTGTCACATCCAGGCTCCTCTTTCATTTGAGGAGGCTGGACTCCCCTGTGTCTACACTGGGACAAGTTCTCGTCTTTTCTCAGCTTCTGCTCCTCGGCTCCTTGGGGATCTCACAGGCCAGCATCTGACCTGCTCCATTTCTGTCTCACAGGTGTTTGACTTATGACGCACACTACACTCATAGACCTGCATTAACATAACACAGCAAACCCTACCTCCAACTGGGGTCATAGCCACAGGCATTTTTGTTGTTGTGTGACTTAGAGTTGATTTCTAGCTCATGGTGAGCCTGTAACAGTATAGCACTTCCCCATGGGGTTTCCTAGGTTGTCAATCTTATGGAAGTAGACCATCAGATCTTCCTCCCACGGAGCCTCCGGTGGGTTCAAAGGACCGGCCTATTGGTTAGCAGCCCAGAGCTTAACTGCTGAGTCACCAGAGCCCAACTTAACCCGGAGCAAATCCTTATAATAGAAACACGAAGCTCAGGAAAGACCATGTTTGTCCACCGAATAGAATACAGAACACAATTTGTGCACATGTTTTTTGGACCCCGTTACTTTAAGCTATTACATTGCAACCACACAATATGCAACTAGCCTGTTGACCCCATTGGCCCAGCAAGATCACATGTCACCCACTTCTTCAATTTTTCAAACTGATGACAAGAAAATGTGACTGCTAAGTTCAATGAGTTGTACCTCCAACCAAGACTTTCCACAGAGAGGATCACCAACAGTAACAACAAACCAGTTGCTGTCCAGAAGATTCTACTCATGGTTGGTGAACCCCGTGTGTCAGACGGGTTTCTGTGGCTGTGGCTTTTCAAAATCAGATTGCCAGCATTGAAAAGACCAGGCTGACTATTCAGAGAGAGACTAAGCCAGACTCTGGAAATGAACTCACCCCTGTGGTTCCATTTTCAGCCACACAACAGACAGGCCTATGGGGGACAGTAACACTTGGGAGGCATGCACACCTTAAAATAATCGGTTATTTGAGATCCAAAGGACAGCACTGACTCAAGGACCAGATTCAGTGGGATTAGGAAAGAAGGAGGAATAGAAACAGGAAACTCAGGAAGTGGGATGCATGAGGGGATTGTAAAGAATGAGATGAAACAAAGTGTGTGTGTGTGCATTGCTGACTGGAAAACGAAAACTGATGACTCTTCAGTAGCATACCTTCAACCAAGTAACAATAAAAAAAAATTTTTTTTAAAGTTTGCCAGGCTTTTCTTCTGAGGTACCTCTGGGTAGATTCAAACCACCAACTTTTGAGTTAGTAGCTGAACCTTTAACCATCTGTGCCACCTACAAGATCAGAAGAGAGAGAAAGAAACACCCATTCTGGTTCTGGCTGCATGTGCCCACATAGCAGAACATCCAAGATTCCTTCCCTCTTAGGTGCCCAGACTCAGAGAGAAGCCTCAGCAGTGTCCTATGAAACAGAAGACAGAGAAACACACGCAGGCTACACAGTTTGCTAGTGTTGTTAAACGCCGTTGAGTCGGTTCTGACTCATGGAGACCCTGTATAGGGTTCCCAAGGAGTGGCTGGTGAGTTTGAGCCTCCAACCTTGTGATTCAAATCAACCTTGCAGTGCTGTTCTTGCCCTACAGCGTCACACCAGGACTCCTGGAAGGTTTATGGAGGTAAAACTCCACCTGTCCACCTTCTCTATCCTCCCTCTCTCCTACCCCCTGAGAAGATGTTGGCCAAGAGACGAGAACTCAGTTACCACACTGCATCTCCTCGCCATCCTGCCTGAGTCACAAGTGCAGTTCCTAGAGATGGTGAAAGAACCAAGCCTGCTGATGCAAAGCTCCCAACTCTTTCTTGTTGGCGACCCCAGTATGTTGTTGTTGCTCAGTGCCATCGAGTCGGTTCTGATTCATAGTGGCCCCGTATAGGGTTTCCGAGGAGTGGCTGGTGAGCTTGAACCGCCGACCTTGTAGTTCAAATCGCAGTCCGGCGCATTCGCCCACAGGTCCACGGCAGGACTCCAGTACAGCCCTCAGTCATTTCCACTTTTCTTCTACAACATGACTGTCCTGTGCTGGGTCCCTCTGAACAGTGGGACCACCAAACCCCTTCATTTCTCCTCCCTCTTTACCCTGCTCCCTGATGTCTTGTTGTGTTGTTGCTGAATGCCAATTTCTGATTCACAGCGACCCCATGGGACCCAGTAAGGTATCCTACGCTGTAATCTTTACGGGAGCAAGTTGCCAGGCCTTTGTCCTGCAGGGCCACTGGGTGAGTTCGAAATGTTAACTTTTCAGTTAGCAGCTGAGCACTTACCCACTGGACCACCAGGGTTCCTTCTGTGTGCTCTTGAGTCAGTCCCAACTCATAGTGACTCTGTATAGGGTTTCTAAGGCTGTGAGGCCTTACACAAGCAAAAAGCCTCATCTCTCTCCCGAGAAGGGGTTGGTGGATTTGAACTGTTCATCCTTCAGTTAGCAGCCCAACATGTAACCCACAACACCACCAGGGCTCGACCTTCTCCCGCCTCTAGTTACTAACATATCTTCTCTCAGTTCCCCTTAACAATGAAATTCCTCTAGATGATTATGTCTACTCCTAGTCCCAAACAGGTCCTATCTCCTTTTGTTCATTTTCAGGTCCTCTGTCTCTTCCTTTCCCTTATGATTGATCTATGGGAGATGCCAAGGCATTAGATGGGAAGTTTTCTCCATAGAATGCTTTGGTTAATTATAGCATAGTGATTAAGAGTCAGGCTGCTAACCTCAAGGTCAGCAATTAAAAATTACCAGTCATTCCATGGGAGAAAGATGAGGCT